ACGAGAAGGACAGTTTAACTGAAAGGTACAAAAGGAAGTACCTGAAAGTAGAGACAAAGGGAAGGGGTATGTCACAGATTACTTGAGTTCACATAAGCTCATACATCTATTAGTAGGGACCTACCTAAATCACGGTGTTGTGGACTTCATGAAAACTGCAAAATCCTGGATTACCCATAAAATCTATGACAAATAAACCTAATAAAAATAAGTTTTTTATCAAGTCTTTCCTTCCCAGTTGGTCTGAGGGGAAGGTGCCAGCTGACAGGGTGGTACAAGGGGGGCGGAAGACAAGATAGCAGCTGCCCCTTCTCCCTCCTTCGCCTCCAGGATCTCTTCACCGGTCAGCACTGAGAGGAAGGACCAAACAAAAGGTAGCCAGCAGTCAAGTGGAAGCTGCCTCCTCATCCTTCTCCCTCTCCCCCACCAAGGCTTTTCCACCAATCAGTGCTGAGGGGCAGGGCCACTGCAAAATGCCCACAAAATGGGCTTTTCACCCTGAGACAAAGCTGCAAAAATGGCTTTGTCTTGCTGTAAATTAACTAGGTCCCTAACTACTAGACACTGAGGTCAGTTTGCAGTACAGGAGGAAATTTGTGACCTAAAATCTGATAATAAGTCAGTCCTAGCACTGGGTAAGTATTGTCAAGCCATAGATACAGTGGGAGTGGTGTAGGACCGAATCTGATGTCAACTGTAATAGTGTAAAGGCAAAGAAAATCCCACCAAAGTCAATGGAATTTTAATGCAACTTTCCTCTGGTATAAAAGCAACTGGAATTTGGCCCACAATGTGCCTCTTTCAAGGTAACAGATTGCTTTAAGTAAATGTTTTGGATGAATGCCTGATTCCACACAGAGCATATCTAACTTTTGTGGACTTCAATGGAAGTAGGAGCAGTGAATCCCACATGTAGCCATATTACCTGTTGCTTGTATAATTTGCCATGGTCTATAACTAGGTAATTTAGGAGTAGAATTAATGTCAGGTGGATATTCTTGACTAACCAGGTTGGTTAATGGAAGTTTAAAACATGCCTATATTCCTCCACATAAGAACCTAAGAAATGTCATATTGAGTGAAACGAAAGGTTCTTCTATCCCTATATCCTTCCTCCAACAGTGGCAAGTAGTAGATGCTTTGGAAGGAAAGTAGGTGAATGGGATATGTCTGAAATGATCCATCCTCTCATACTCCCCCTCTGACATCAGCCATCATTGTTTTAAGAATGGCAGAAGATACATCCCTGACAGTTCTATTTAAAAGCTCCTAGTGGACCTGTCCTCCAAGAATTTATCTAATCCCTTTTGAACCCAGTTATGCTAGCTGTCTCTATGACCTCCTGTAGCAGCGTTCCACAAGTTACCTACATAGCATGTAAAAAAGGATTTCCCCTTTTTAGTTTTAAACCTGTTTCCAGTCACTTTGAGTAGGTGCCCATTAATTCTGTATGCTGGGACTTGGTGAATAACAGTTCCATATTTGCTTTATCCACAACTGTCTTGATTTTATAGACTTCCTCTCTCTCAAATGACATTGTTTCATTGCCTTCGACCTTCCCAGTTTAATTCTCCCTTGCTCTAGTTTTTAGCTCCTTTGCTGGTTACTTGCTCCTACCTGCAGGAGCACATTTGATTTTTCATCAGAGACTTCAGAACAGTTTCTTATTATTCCAGACCGAGGCATCCACCTGCCTGTTTTACTAAACATATGCTTTTATGCAGCTGGCTTAGCCCTTTGGGAAATTACAATGTTAAGTCACTCTGACAGCTGACAGGGTCTCAGCATTTTATTTAGCGTATGTTTTATTTTTTCTCTGTTTTTTGTTTATGCAATGAAGCTAATGAACGCAACATAGTTCTGATGTAAGAGAATCAGCATTTAAAGGATCAGAAGCATTGAAGCATTGTGCGGAAATTAACGAACAGTCTACATGTATTTGTCCCTCCCCCGGTCCAAATTTTTGGATGGTTCTTGTTGCCTTTTTTATGGCTTTGTAGGGAGGGTTTCATAGCCATCTCTCCGCCATCTTAGAATTTTATACTGCCCTTCATCACTGTAGCATCGAAGCACCTTCTGTGTAAATTCAATAACAAGTGAAGCGCCTCGTGGAATTCATCGAGTCTCTGACACTTCTTCTTCAGGGTCAAATCTCTGCTTGAAGTAACAGCTTTTTGAGAGGAAGTGTTGCTGTAGCTTTGCAGATAGAAAGAGCAACTCATATTGTCAGTATTGCTTATAGTGGAAGGGCTTTCTTAAAGAGGAAGGGTTTGGGTGGGGAGGGGTTTCCAAAAGGTGCCAGACTCCAGATTATTATGTCAGTCACCAAGAAACAGGATAGTTTATTTCTTGATGGCCCTGACTGAACACCCAATAAGAACAATGGGAAACTCCCATTGGATGCACCTGGTTTTGGAGCAGGCTTCAGAGGTTAATTAGAGAAAGGGTGGTCTGGTGGACACAGCATTGGAAACCCAGGACCCCAAGTCGAATTCTTGGTTTGTTCACAGGCTTCCTGTGAAACACTAGGTAATCCCTTATTGGGTAATCCCAGTGGTTTTTAACCTTTTTAGTCTCTAGACATTTCTCCATAACTTTTGTGAATCGAGCAGTTCCCCATTGTAAAAACTAACCTACTTCTTATATGTACACCTCCTTGCAGAGGGACTGGGCATTGCAGGCAGGGAAGGGCCTGTGCCTCTGCTCATCTCCTCACTCCAGGTTTATTTCTTTATACCTTATTTCACTCTTCAAAAGATCTTGAGGCACCCCTGGGTGCCCTGGCACCTTGGTTGAAAATCACTTCTCTATCTTGTGGCCCAGTTTCTCACTTGCATACCAGAGGTAACCTCACCTGCCCTCAAAAAGATGTCCTAAGGAGAAAGTCTGTGAAGTGTGAGGTGCTCAGATGCTTACGCTGACAAGGGTTATATTAATAGAGAGACCTTTCACACTGTATCATGAACCCTTTCTTATCAAACCCCAAAGAGATGTCCCAAATAAATAGTCATTTTTGCCCTGTTTTATTTGGAGATCTCATCATTTTATGGATGTTAAGGAATTTAGTCTTTCCATAGAATGGGTACCAGCCCAGGGCACTGATTTAGAGGGAGCACCAGAATAGAGGCCCTCTGGACAGCCCATGCCACAGAGTTGCTACAGCAGGTGTGTAGGAGCCCACCTGCATCTGCAGCAGCCTGGGCCAGTGCCACAGCAGCAACCACAATGCAGTAAGCCTGGGCCATGGCAGGTAAGATTCTGCCCTGCAAACACTCCCCAGCACTCAGCACACCTCCTTCCCCCCACTCCTAGGGTGCTGACATACCCTGCTATTCCTCTGATGATGATTATTATCTCAAACAGAGGAAAACTGAGTCACTTGCATCAACCAGTTACTGCTTTTCATAAGAAAATATTTTAAATCTTTCATGTTTTCAATAATGACTGCTAATGGCACATGGTAGCTTTTGTGAATTCAGATGAAAATAAATATACACAATACAGAAATGATGACTGCATGCAGCAGAAATGGAGTTTGGCCATGTATTTGCCAGTAATAACATCCTTTTGCTTGCATGTGGTCCTTTATAGTATGCCAGCAAATGTTCCCTAGCTTATTTTACAACAGCATTGATCCTGTTATGAAGCTGTATGAATCTTGTCTCTGAGGGTGACTCTTTGCAGAAAGTAAGAAGGGGTTGTAGTTTGATGTGCAGAATACCAAAGCAAAAATTAGCAAGGTTCTGTTGTACAGACCTATAAATCTAAGCACACTGAGCCATGGCCTCTTAGGCACTGATTACATGGAAACCCCCCTTAGTTATCCAAAACTATCTAGTGTTGTCCTTTATATGCTAATCATTGTGATGGTGCTACATATGTTCTTTTCAAATCAGAGGCATAATGAGATAGGTGGCCATCCAAGGCAGCTGCCACACAGGGCAGGGCAGCAGTGACTTCCAATTGCTGCTGTTGCTGTTGACATAATCATGCAGCTACAGATGCAGCCATTTAAAAATGTCATAGATTTCATAGATATTAGGGCTGGAAGGGACCTTGGAAGATGGAGTCCAGCCCCCTGCCCCAAGGGCAGGAAGTCAGCTGGGGTCAAAGGATCCCAGCAAGATAAGCATTGAAATGCTTCTTAAAAGAGTCTAGAGTAGGTGCTTGCACCACTTCTTGGGGGAGTCTGTTCCAGGCCTTGGGGACTTGGACAGTAAAGAAATTTTTCCTTATGTCCAGCCCAAAACGGTCTTGGAGGAATGTGTGACAGCTGGACCTTGTCATCCCTCATGCGCTCTGGTGAACAGGCATTTCCCCTGTTCCTGATGTATACTCCTGACGTACTTATAGGCTGCCACCACGTCCCCCTTGAGCCTGCGCTTTTCCAGGTTGAAGAGTCCCATGACTCTCAGCCTCTCTTCATAAGGCCTGTTCTCTTGCCCTCTGATCATTTATTCTGCCCTTCCCTCCACTCCTTCCCCGCAAGTCAGCATTTGGGGCACCTAACCCAGTCACTCCTCCCTAATTATGCCACTGCTTAAAATAAAAATCTAAACTAGTCTTTGCTATTTTTCAATGATTGCTAGTAACACAGGAGAATGGTAAATTGCTCATTAGTAGATCACACGTTAATCACGGCGGGGAAAACATTAGACTGGGATCCAAAAGAGCAGGGTTCTCTCTCTCTCTCCTTGTGGTATCGACCTGTTGTGTGACCTTGAGTAAGTCAATTGTCTCCCTCTGGTGCCTCAGTAAAAGAGAAACAGGACTCATATTGCTGAAGGTTTTGGAGAGCTGCAGATGAAAAATAACTATGTCTGTGCTATTGCTGTGATGTCCAGGATGGTGAGGAGGGTTGTGGAAAATTGACCATTGTGTCTTAGCACCAGAGCATGCAAATTCTCTTTGTGGCCCCAGTAAGATGTGGAGAAAGTGAAGAAGAGAACATTGGGGCCCTCACATCTTTAGAGAATGTTTTGGATGTGGTCTTGTTTCAGATCATTGGTTGTTCACGACGTGCGGTGCCAGCGGACCCTATGGACCCACTCAGAGCCAGTGCAACAATGCATACAGGAACTCCAACCTCAGTGTGATAGTGGGGGCCGAAGGGATTCTCCAGGGAGTCCAGATCTGGAGAGTGCCAGCCACCAACACTTACAGGTGAGAGCCCCCTCCCTCCCCATGATCTGCCTCCAGCGAAACTGTAACTTCCTCCAGTCTGATGGTTTTTAGATGTTTCTAACTTGGCCATATCTGAGTGGATGTTCAGGGGCATTTCTCTGACCCAAAGGCTACTTACCCTGGCAGTTGTCAAGTATGTGTGTGTCTACAGGGTGGAGTCAAGAGCATTTCAAAAAGTGAGAAACAACTTCTCTGTCCCCACTTTCCTGAGCCAATATTCTGCCCTAATCCCAACCCCCAAGGCACCTTTCCTCTTCAATGACTGCAAGTCGTGATATGATAATGAGAGAGAAACAAATTGAAAGAAGGGAAGGGAATGTGAGTCTACTCTACTCCACTCTACTCTGTGCCTGTCTAGTAGGATACAACCCTGTAATATAGATTTCTCTGCATGGGTGCACAGATCCTTGCTATAAATTAAAGAATAAATTACTTACATGCTTAAGTAGCAGCGAGCTTCTTCAATGAATGGGGAGTGACCCGGACACTATGTATGCCACTCGCATTCACCTGTAGCTTGCAAATGAGTCAAAAATGAGATCTCTTGCACTCACTGATTTTATCCCTTATGTGCAAAATCTACTGAATGTTGAAAAATACAACTTCTAATTGTAGCCAATTAGCCCTGCCAGCTTGCCTTGCTTGATAGTGTCTCTCATGAGCTGTTACAGCATGCAACAGCAAATTGGGTCTATATTAGCTCCTAGTTCATGCAGCAGCTGTTTGGGGGTCCCTGTGCTGTATCTATCCATTTTAGTCTAGTTCTGTTGCAACCTTACAGAGGAATGATTGGTTTAGTTGCAAAGACAGACATGTATGTCACATTCCAGAGATATAACATGCTTTATGAAACAGTGCACCATGATCATGTTGGCATAGTCACATCTCCATACAGACTACCACAAAGCCCAGCATATACCCTCGTCATTAAAATGAGAACCCAAGCAAATTAAGTTGCTCTTTTAAGGAGCAGTCCTACTGCAGGATACTGCTGTGACGAACGTGCTGCAGTTCAGCATCATTCATAACCTGTTTACATGCAGTGCTGTGCCAAGCCAAGTGCAGACACAAACTTGGAGGAACGGGGATTAAAGGAAGCCAGTTCTCCTTCCCAAATGAAGTACGTAGAGGAAGGGCTGGCTTAGTTGTCAGTGCCAGGAATGAGACTTCCCAGCTTATTTTCCTCTGCCTCTGTACGGAAGTCATGGAAATGTGTTGGGCTGAAATTCGGCCTTGCGGTAAATTGCTTTAATATTACTGAAGTCAGTAGAGGCTCTCTCACTCACACCAGGTCTAAACTGGATTCTCTGTGTCCCAGTTTCCCCACTGGTAAACAGGGGATTATAATTCATACCTGTCTTCCATAGAGAAGTGTGGCTTAATCTGATATTTAGCTACTGTGGAGATTCTTGTTATTTCTTAGCATAAAAGGAGGCAGCCCTAAGGGACAGAATTGAAACACCAACAATTTGAGTGGGTGGTAACCAGGAGACTTCTGAGTCTAAAGGCCTGAGGCTCTGCTGCTTGAACGGAAAACTGCTGCCACCTTAGCTGAGATTGCAGGCTCACCAACCTCGCTGCAGGGTCCAGCCAGAAACAGGGAGCTGCATTGTGGGGATGTGGGTTCCATGCCAGGTAAAAATCAGAGGGCTTTGCCTTCCTTGTTTTAAAACCACCTATGGACTTGCTTCAGTTAGTGCTGTGTCTCTGTACTATCCTATGCTCCTCTTGCCTTTTTACGTATCTTGGTGCTGCTGGTATGGCCTTCCCTGCAGCCCTTGACATCTGCCACCGTTTCATTATCAGCTTCCTCAAGACTCCTGCTAGCCAATCTCATGAAAACAGTACTCTTTGGCCCCTGTTCCTCTGCTCTTCCATTTCTTTATCTCTCTGTCTCTCAAGATCTCAGAGGGTATATAGTCTAGGGTCTGGAGGCAGAAACTCTCTCAGCTGCCCATCAGTTCTTTTCACCCTGGAGATAAACTGAACTGTTCCTATCCTACTCTGGCTGCATCTGTTCCATGCCAAAGCAAAGGACTTTAGAGTTATCAATCCTATTTTCCAAAGGAGACTTTGGAAGTAGCTAAACTCCCAGCATAACGTCTTTTGTTATTCATTCCTGTAAAACTTACAATGCAGCCCTGATCCCCAGCTGGGTGCTATCACAATACAGATAATAATAGCTGGCTGACATTCATAATAGCAAACTCTGTCATTATATGTGTAGGCAAGGAAAAGGACCAGATCTTTTCTACTCATAGCTCTTGCAGTTCTTCTGCCAGATTTCAGAAGCTACTTGCTTTTTCACCCATTTGAAGCAATGTCGTGTTAGGCTTTTGCTTTCTTTCCACTGCAGCATTTCAGGCTATGGAGCAGCTGGTGGGAAAGGAGGAAAGAATACCATGATGAGATCCCATGGTGTGTCTGTGCTGGGGATTTTTGATCTGCAAAAAGATGATGCCCTGTACATCCTGGTAGGACAGCAAGGAGAAGATGCCTGCCCCAGTGTAAGTGATGCCATCTTTGTTCCTCCTTGAATTTTTTTGGACACTGAAATCTTTACATATTAATGCAATTTTACTTTAGGGAATTTGGCTTTGGTTGTTCAAACTATAGGCACAGTATTTGTGGTAGGGGCTTACCATCAAAGTAGGAGTCCTGACAGGGGACACCGCGTAGTCAATACAAATAAAGGTGACAGAACGTGAGTTAGCACAGAGTTCGCACAGGAGGGTGCACGGGAGGGCCAAGGCCCTGCCTGCGAGCCCCCTAGAGTAGACAGACTCAGGCCCAGCCCACCTACCAGCAGCATGCCGCGGATGAGCACTTACCTCACCCCAAGGGTCCCCTCAGGGTCTGTGGCCCCCCTCCCTGGCACCTCAGAGATGGCCAGCCAGATGGAGCCCCTGGCTTTCGACTGTGGGGGCTGCCTGTCCCTTTTTCAGGCTCTGGCAGCCAGCAGCATGGCCACCTCCCCTTGTGAGGTCTGCTCCCTTTTGGAGTCTCTGGCGTGCCAGCTGAAGGGGCTCCAGGCCGCAGTCCAGAGACTGTGTGCCATCAGGGACTGCAAGCAAGAGATTGACTCCTACTGCCAGGCCCTTCTCCCCCAGGAGCCGGAGGGTAGACCACAGTCTCCCTCCAGGACAAGGGAGGACTCTGGGACCTCCCATTCTGTCCAGTCAGGGGCATGGACCAAGGTGGTCAAGGGCCATAAGGCCCCTGCCCCGCCAAGGTGGTCAAGGGCCACCAAGGCCCCTGCCCCGCCAGAGCTTAGCAACAGGTATGAACCTCTTGCTGCCCCAGCAGAGCCTGCTCAGTTGCCAGCTCCCGCAGGCAACACAGGTGCTACTGTACCTACTGCCCCTGCTCTCCCCAAGACAAAACACAAAGTGTTTGTTGTGAGAGACTCCATCCTGAGGGGGACTGAAGGGGTAGTCTGCCACCCTGACCCCTTAGCCTGAGAAGTCTGCTGCTTCCCGGGACCCCACATCCAAGACATTGAGGAGGAGATCCCTAAGCTCCTCCAGCCCACAGACCACTATCCCATGCTCCTTATTCATGTGGGCACCAATGACACAGCTCGGAGCACTCCCAGCCAGGTCATGAGGTGCTCCAGGGATTTGGTAGCGGGGCTAAAGGGTCTGGGGGCACAAGTGGTGTTCTCGTCGATCCTCCCAGTCTCAGGCTATGGCCTGAGGAGGATCCGGGTAGTTAACCAAAGACTGCAGCGCTGGTGTCATCGGGAAGGCTTTGGCTTCCATGACCACAGCCTGCTCTTTGGTGAGAGAAGCAGTGAGCTGCTGGGAAGGGATGGCCTACACCTCTCTCCCCTGGGGAAGAGGCTCTTCTCAGCCAGACTGGCTGACCTGCTCCACCGGGCTTTAAACTAAACCCGCTGGGGGACGGGGGCACTACTGCCTCTCCTGGCCCGCTGAGCAACTCTTGCAAAGCCAGCAGGCCAAGGCACTTAAGGGAGCCCACCCCTGCCCCAGCCCTGGTACAATCTGTGGGCAAGGCAAGAGCCCCCAAGGGAACACTTGCCTGCCTGTACACAAATGCCAGGAGCTTGGGGAATAAGCAGGAGGAACTTGTCCTCCTGCTTAACGCAAATAATTATGACGTCATAGGGATAACAGAGACCTGGTGGGACTCCACCCATGACTGGACCATGGGTATAGATGGCTATACCCTATACAGGAGAGATCGAGTAGATAAAAGGGGTGGGGATGTAGCTCTCTATGTTAAGGAAAGCTACACATCCCTGCAGGCTCATGTTGGCGACCAGGATGGACGACTGGAGACCCTGTGGGTTAAAATCCTTGGGGAACATGGCACAGGAGACACAATGGTGGGAGCCTACTACAGACCTCCCACCCAAATTCAAGAGCATGACCAGGAGTTCGCCGGGGAACTGGCTGAGGCCGCACGCTCCAGGACCATGGTTGTCATGGGTGACTTCAATTACCCAGACATCTCGTGGGAGGATCACTCAGCAAAATCCAAGCGGTCGCAAAGTTACCTCTCGTGCGTGGATGACCTCTACCTGACTCATGAAATCTACGAGCCAATGAGAGGTAAAGCGCTACTTGACCTGGTACTGGCTACTGGGGATGACCTAATCCACAACCTAGTGATTGATGGGAAGCTGGGTGACAGTGACCAGGAGCTGATTATCTTCACCATCCGCCGTAAAGCTGGCAAGTCAGTCAGCAACATGGAAAGCTGACTTTGACAAGCTCAGGAGGCTGGTCAGTGAGGCCCTAAGGGACCATGACCCCAGGGGGAGGGGAGTTCAGGAAGGGTGGTTGCTCCTCAAGGGAGCGATCCTCAATGCACAAGCTAATTCTAGTCCATCTCAGAGGAAAGGCAGCAAGAGAGCACAGCCGCCCTCCTGGCTCTCCAGGGATCTAG